GGGTCAAGCTCGCGGCATATTACCTTGATGGCGAGGCTAATATTTGGTGGCAATGGGTGTCACACGTGTATAAGAACAAGGACGAGCGCGTACGGTGGAAGGATTTTGAAAAGGAGCTTATCACGCGTTTTGGGTCAAGCGACTACTACGACTATGATGAGGCTCTATCTCGTGTACGTCAAAGTGGTAGCCTCCGGGAGTACCAGAAGGAGTTCGAGTGCATCGCAAGTCGCGTACGCAATTGGCCTGAGAGCGCGCTTGTAGGCACATTCACTAGAGGGTTAAAAGCGGAACTGGCCACCGAGGTCAGGCTCGATAGACCACGGTCGATGCGAACGGCGATGGAGGCCACCCGCATGCACGAGGACCACCTGATCGCGGTACATAAAGCCAACCGCATAGATGGGCGCACGGAGCCTCGACGCATGAGCGCAACGGGTGAGTCACCGCCACAAGTCGGAACCAAGGCAGTCTCAGAAAACACGAGGACAACAAGCCACATACGGCGACTAAACCCCGATGAAATCGAGAGAAGGCACGAGAAAGGACTGTGTTTCACGTGTAATGAACGGTTCACACCCGACCATCGATGTACGGGAAAGTAGGCTCATCTACTCGAGTTTGACCCCGACGAGGAGCACGGACGGGATGAGCGCGAGTAAGGGGAACAGGGTGAAGCATCGTTACACATAAGGGTAAGCGAGGACCGAGGATGATGCGATTTACCACGGATATATTTGGTCAAAATGTCGACGTGTTGGTCGATAATGGATCGACCCTTAACTTTATAAACGAGGACTTGACCGCGACGCTGGAAATACCTATGACATGTGTCGTGCCATTTGGAGTAAGGGTTACGAATGGAGAAGAACTTAAGAGTTCCATGCTATTTAAGAAGGTACCAATGCACGCACAAGGCAAGGATTTGAAAATCGACCTCTACACACTACCATTTCAGGGCCAGATGTGGTATTAGAAGTTCAGTGGCTAGAAACACTAGGTCCCGTGACTACCGACTACAAGAGGGGATCCATGGAATTTGAGCAAGCCAAAAAGCGGATCAAGTTACAAACCAGTGACACGGGGGTCAAATAGGATGAATAGGAAAGCCTCGAGTTCATTATCCTTGAGGACAAGGAAATTCTCGAAGAGAGCGGGAATGATGAGGAAGTGGTCATCGACCCTTCCGAGCCCGAGAATGCGGCGATCGATGACCAAAAAAGAAGGCGCTTGAACAGACAGGATGGGTCATGGGATCGTGAGAAAAGGGCTCAAACCCGCGTGAAGTGGCACGCATAAGATCGCGCGATGAGAAGATCGGCAATACACGTTAGCCGAGTTATGAGGCGCGCGGGGTGAAAGGACGCGTGACGGTGAATTGCGTGGAGAAGGGTTCGCACAAAAAGATGCTATAGGACGACGCTGGGGACGCAACGTGTGGTTCGGGCAGTGCACAAAAAAGGGATGACGGGTGGAGAGCACACGCAAAGGATGGTCAAGGGCGAGCGAGCAAGCGAGTTGAGGTTAGCGTGCTGACCACTCGCGAACATGAGACACGCACCAGGTGCGATGAGCGGGCGCGCGGTGAGTGCAAGGGTCGACGCGTGGGGAGCCGACGCGCGTGATGTCTCGGACGACGAGGAGTAGTGCAGGGTTGCGCACCGCCTAGGGCAAGGATCCGGATGGAGTGCGGCGCAAGGGAAAACGACTACCTTAGCTTATTAGGACTTTGGTTTTGATTAGGATATTTGAATAAAGACATGTGCCTAATTAGTTATTTGGTAAGATTAGGATTTTAGATATCTAGTTACCTTAGGAATTTCTCCTCTTTCCATGAGTTAGGATTCTAGTTAGCTTAGGATTAGACTTAGTTAGTCTCTATAAATACTACTCAATGTCATTTAATTTTATCACAGAAGAAGTTAATAAAAATGGAACGTTTGTTCACCAATCTCATGTGTTAATTCATGTGAGTTTACATACAAGATCGTTTTAGAAATAGGACCAACATCCGAGTTTCTTCACAAAATCGCGACACAAAGCTGTCGGCGCGCGTATTAGCAACCTATCGCTTAAAGATCAAGGCGTCGGCGTTGGCACATCGAGTTGAGCGGATACACGATCTTCATCACGCCGGCCTTTTGCTTTGCGGCCGCCAAAGTCGGACGGCATATCACTTTGCGGCCGCGAGTGGCCGCTGGCCGCCGGTCGTTCCTTTCCCGGCCGCGGGCCCCCCTTTTATTTGCTTTTTTATTTAAAAAATGTTCAAATATTAAAATTATATTTAATTAATTTTATAATTTTTAATTATATGTTAATTATAATTAAAAATATTAATAATTAAATATATTCATATTTTATATATTTTCAATTAATGAAAAAAAAATCTAATTAATATATATATGAAAATAATATGTATTAAAAATTATAATAGTAATTAATATAATTATTATATTTTATAATAGAAATTAGTAATATAATTCTTATATACTAATATAGTAATCAGTATAATTATTAGTGTAATTGTACTAATAATTATACTAATTATTATATTAGTATAAAAAATTCTATCAGTAATTAGTATAATTACGGTAAATTTTATTAGTATATAAAAAATTATATTAGTAATTAGTATAATTAATAGTATAAAATATAATTAATTATAATAGGAAAAAATTATATTATTATAAATTATTAAGTTATAGATTAGAATGATCTACCGATTCTCTCTCTCTCTCTAACCTAATCCCCAAATTCCCTCGGCGTCCGTCTCTTCCATCGCAGTGATTCTTGGCCTTCCCCAGCGACGTCTTGCTCCGGCCAATGGTCATCTTCAGCAGCTTGCTCCTCTCCTGACCTGTTGCTTCGATGTTGCTGTAGGCGGTCGGAATTGGTGGGTCGAACTAGGGTTTTCAGATGGGGCTCGTCTCGTGGTGCGGCTTCTGGATCGAACTAGGGTTTTCAGATGGGGTTTTCAAGGTCGTCTCTTTCATGATATGTCTCTGGTCTGCGATCTGGAGGCTCCTCTCGTTTGGGTTCGTCTTCGGGTGATGTCCGACCTCCGGTTCCGGTGGCATGTGGTGACGCAGGGTGTAGGTCGGTTTGAAGGGTGGGGCTTTGGCAGCATTGTGGTGGAGCCGGGCTTTGGTTGGGTCTTTCGCTGCAGTTGCCGGAGTTGCAGAACAAGCCTCTTCCTCCCTCCCCTGTCGGCTAGTGGTGTTAGGCGGCGGGGGCTTTGGTTCCCCCAGGCTCGGCTAGTGGTGTTAGGCGGGTTCGGGTGGGGCTAGGGTGGGAGTTGGTTTTTGTTTTCTCGGTTGAATTTGAGTCGATTCAGGATTGGTTCAGGGCTTGGTTTCGACTACTGTGTAGGAAGTTTGCAGTTCCGGTAGTGGTTTCTCGGGCTTGGAATCTTTCTTGAGTCGATCGTTCGCTGTTGGTTGTGACAGTTCGTTTGCTCGGGAAGGGCTTTATGTGTTTTTTGTTTCTGTCGTTTTTTGTTTTGTATTATTTGTGTTGCTTTGTGTTAGTCTTTGTGTTTTAGATCTGGGCCGTTGGTCTCTGTGAGCCCGAGTGTCAAACTTATTGTCCTGTTAGGATCCGACACTCGGGTATTACTCTGGTTGGGGTCTTTTTAGTTGTTTTAGTTGTTTGTGTTGTGTGTCAGTTTAGTTGGAGTGTTTTTATTCTTGCGTTGCTAGCGGGGCTTCTAGGCTGGTCTCCTGACCTGTCCTCCCACTTTTTCAGTTGTTGGTTGTTGTATATTCAGCCGTTGACTGTTGTGTATTCGCACATTTGTGCATTTTGTTTTATGATATTATCTGTCGTTTTGGCCAAAAAAAAAAAAAGATTAGAATGATCTGATAAAATAAAATTTATTGATATTATGTTATAAGTTATTATAATATTATGTTAGATGTTATAAATGATTGTGTTGTTGATTAGTATTAAATAACTTATGAAGTAGAATTTATTTATAACATGTTAGAAGTTGGAAATTATTGTGTTATAGATAGAATAGATTAATTTATGAAGGATAATTTATTGGTATTATGTTAGACGTTAGAATTGGTTACATAATACAAAAATACAAATTACTATTATTATGTTAGAAGTTATAATTGATTATTTTGTACAATTATTAAACATCGTAATGTATTGCAGGTGCCACTCGAAGATTTTGGAAGAGACAATTTTGATTGCTGTCATGTTCTCACTACAGATGACCTATTTGATAGTTGTGAAGAAGCTATTAAATGGGCAAAAGATATTGCAATTATATGGGGTTTCGAATTGGTCATCTCGAAACACGAAAAAAAGGAAAGCAAAAGGTGTTGAGGTGTCATCGAGGGGAACGTTACAGATGCAATGTAGGAAATTAAGTTAATGTTGTTTTGAGACGTTCGAAAACTAAAGCGACCAACTGCCCTTTTCCGATAAAAGTCAGATTGAGGAAGAATCCCAAATATGGTATATTTGGCTTCCTTATGATGATAATAAGGGAACACATAATCATGCTTTGGTTGTGCATCCCGTGGGTCATCGACAGATGAGCGAGCTTAGCGATTATTCAAACAGATTGTCCGTGATATGACTGTTGCTCATGCAAAATTGGCAGCAGTTTTGGCTGCGATTCAGGAGAAAAACCCCATAGACAACGCTACTCGCCGGCAAGTGTATAACTATAAAGTTAAATTGAAATGAGATAGATTGCAGGGTAGAGATGTGGCTGCCAACTTCTGTATTTGGCTACGGTCATCAACTATATAGTTTACACAAATGTTGATCCGGACACACAAGCGTTGACACGTGTGTTCATGTCGTATCCTCAAGCAGTCAGTCTGTTCCAGACATATTACTGGTATGTCAGTATATATTCCACATAAAAAACTAACAGGTATGTTATGTTACTTTATAAATAGCAATTTAATGTGAATCTTAATTAGTATGTTTGAGTATGTTTTTTGATTCTATGTTTCCTCTTGTTGCTTTCATTTGCACAGGTACCAGATGTCGTGGAAATGGTTGGATTTACTCTGTGTAACAAGAACTTCTTAATTGCCTATGTAATTATCAAGGACGAGACCGAGTACAACTATGATTGGGTCATACAGCGGTTGAGACTTCTGATAGGACCTGACGTACATCCTTCAGCCACTGTCACTGATAGGGAGTTGGGCTTGATTACTGCTATTCAGAGGAATTTTCCAGTGTCGCCCCACATACGTTGCACGTGGCATGTCAACAAGGATGTGAAAGACAGGGTCTATTGACTAACAGCAAAAAATAAGGTCTTCGCTCAGAAGTTCACACACGACAAGCGGAAGAAGGTTGTCGAGGCAAGCACGTTGGAGAAATATAAAACTGTCAGATATGATATGAATGCTCGGCACGCGGCGTTTCCTCGTGTGCTAGAACATGTGGAGCAAACATGGTTAGTCCAAAAGGAGAAGTTTGTCAAAGCGTGGACGAACACTGTTTTACATTTTGGCAACACAACGTCATGTAGGGTGGAGAGTGCCCACGCTACGTTGAAGCAGTGGCTTAACACGTCGATCTGTTTGCTCGACACAGTGTGAGAGAATATTCACAAGGAGATTGAACTGACTCAAGTAAGGTATATTCCTTGAGTTATACAGATTTACTATGTTATTATTGCATTAATTATAAGTTATAAATGAGTCTAATGTTATGTAATGTATTACTAGGGACACGCTGGAGTCTTCGACACTTAGGATGAGTATGGGTTATGTAACACCCCGACTTTCTAATACATCAGAGTACGCGATTTTCGCAAATTTTCTGAAATAAATACTTATAAACTTCTTATTTTGCGAAACTGATTCGGGGGCTACC